AAAGAAAGAAAGAAAGACTGGCTAAGTGAAAGAAGCCAGTCTGAAAAGTTCACATACTATATGATTTCAAGTATATGGTATACTGGAATTGACAAAAATACAGAGACAGTAAAGAGGTAAAGAGATCGGTGGCTGCCAGCAGTTAGTGGGTGGGGATAAACAGGTAAAGCACAGGAGATTTTTAGGGTGGTGAAACTATTCCGTATGATACTACAATGGCATGTATATGACATCATACACTTACTAAAAACCATAGAACTACACAACAGAGTGAATTTTAATGTAAATTATGGTCTTTGGTTAATAATAATGTATTAACATTAGTTCATTAGTTTTAACAAATATATCATACTGATGCAATACGTTAATAACTGAGTTTGGGTGCGGTGGCTCACACCTACAATCTCACCCCTTTGGGAGCCCAAAGTAAGCAGATCACTTGAGGCTAGGAGTTTGACACCAGCCTGGCCAACATAGGGAAACCTCATCTCTACTTAAAATATAAAAATTACCTGGGTATGGTAGTGAGCAGCTGTAAACCCAGCTATTGGGGAGGCTGAGGCACAAAAGTCACTTGAACCCTGGAGGCAGAGGCTGCAGTGAGCTGAGTTCATGCCACTGCACTCCAGCCTGGGCCACAGAGCGAGACATTGTCTCAAAATAAATAAATAATTAAAATAAAGCAATAACTGGGAAAACTGTAGATAGGGGGAGAGGGCTATATGGAAAAACTACTATTTGCTCAATTTTTCTTTAAATCTGAAACTGTTCAAATTAAGTCTATTCATTATGTGTGCGCATGCATCCATGCACAAACGTATGCACCAAATTGGAAAAATAAAGCTATTTACAGTTATTTATACTCAACTGATAATACAGAGTGGCCAAGAAATAGAGGATATAGGAGATAGACATGTCTTAGAATTCACCACTTAGTTATTATTTCATTTTGCTGTCCTCCACTCCCACTCTCAACATTCCAGAAGAAAAGAAAGAAGGAATAGTCATCATTCAACCTGTGGAGGGTTAGCTCTTCAGATACAAACATGGATAGTATCAGAAGATGCAAGAAAATCAGACTGCACTACAGATTAAAAGAGAACAAGGCTAGATTAATGGATATCAATCACCAACTCCTAAAACAGAAGTACAAATTAATAATCTTCAGAGGCCTGGCAGGAACAAAATTATACAATATATGGGTTAATGCAACTGAGAGAGATACAGCCTATACCAAACTAAAGAAAGCTTGCCTGGTCTACAGGCCAAAAGGTTCAAATGTTTATTTAAAAAAACACAGTAGTCACATAAAATGTCTACTTGCTGGCTGGAGTTCCATCACCTACAATTTACCTGCTTTCAAAAATTGTATTCAACACTGAGAAAACAGAAAACACTTATCATGAGCTTAATATGGGCTTCTTCTTCCTTAACTATAGAACACTTAATGAAATATCAAGTCAATGGTTAAAAAATGTATCCTAGGCAGGTCTAAACCATTAACATTTGGTTTAAGCAACTTTGTATAATTCACCTCCTAAATCATAAAGAAGACACCTAAACATTTATATTAAAAGAATAAAACTCAAAGAAATTCTCATCTAAAGCAAACAATCCTGATGTTAAAATTATTTCTTACACTTGTAAAATCATCAAATTTTGTGCTTTCACATAAAGAGCTTCTAGAAACATACAAACAGAGCTATATAAATTGAGAAGTTATAAAGCCAAAGTAGACTACACATCAGGCAGCTCATAAAAATTGCTCTAAATCCCCTCTGCAAATGTATTTTATTTCTCCTACACTTTGTCTATAAGAAACATTTATATGGTCAGGCACAGTGGCTCATGTCTATAATCCCAGCACTGTGGGAGGCCAAGGCAGATCACTAGGTCAGGAGATCGAGACCATCTTGGCCAACATGGTGAAACCTTGTCTCTACTAAAAATACAAAAAAATTAGCTGGGTATGGTGGCGCATGCCTGTAATCCCAGCTACTCAGGAGGCTGAGGCAGAAGAATTGCTTGAACCCAGAAGGCGAAGATTGCAGTGAGCCAAGATCACACCACTGCACTGCAGCCTGGGCGACAGTGCGTGACTCCATCTCAAAAAAAAAAAAATTTATATAATGCTTTTATTCAATCATAAATGGTGCCCAAAAATGTGACAATCTAAACCTTTAAGGTTTATGTACAAGCAAATGAAATTGTGAATAACTCTGCATATAATTCAGATATAGAGTGAAGATGCCAGTGAACTAAACGAAACCACATTGATTACTGTATCACTAGAGTTTCAGTGTCCCAAGATGATAAAGTTTTAGAGATCTATTTCAAAACAATGTAAATATGCTTAACACTACTAAACTGTACACTTAAGAAATGATTTATAAAATTAAATGTTATATATTTTTACAATAAAAATATTAAATTTAAATGTTATATTATTCGTTAGCATGCTTCATATAATAAATTAAGAAATGCCTAAAATTAATGTTAAAATAAAATTAACATATATGGCCGAAATATCATCTCAAATATAGTTTTTCCTGTGCGAATTATTTCCTTCTAATAACAAAAAATAATATAAATTAAATTAGATGCTCTATGTTTTTCTTCACATTTCCCCTAACCACTGAGTTTACTGTATGGAACATTAAGGTTTATTTAACTAGCTTTTCATGTCTTTTATCCTAAACATTATGATGCATAAACCAAATGAATGAATAGACATTATTGTCCTTCTCCATAATTGAGTCGAGTAAATGATTATTACACAATAGTCATAAAGTAAATTTCTTCAGTTTAAATCTACCACTCTTTAGCTCAGCTTTTAAAAAAGTTTTATATATTTTAAAAGTTTTAAAATTTTAGATATACATATGGCATGCCTACAATTTCATCATGTCAATCCCAGAGTTTTACTAGCTAAAACAGCCTTTCACTCCAAGATGTGATGGTCTATTAAACAAACAACCTAGAAGATCCCTGTCACAATAAAAGACTACAGAGTTGTCAATTAAAAAATATAGTTTTTCTAAAAGCAAATACATAGATTACTGGTAATAATAAACTTTACACAGTGCTACACAGTGTACACAACGTGGTATACAAATACTCATTTATTATTATTATTTTTGAGACGGGGTCTTACTATGTTGCCCAGGCTAGTCTTGAACTCCAGAGCTCAAACAATCTAACCGCACTGGTCACCCAAAGTGCTGGGATTACAGGCATGTGCCACCACACCCAGACCAGATACACAATTTTAATTTTAGTTATTATAAATGTATTTTTATAGCTAGCTTATAATGGTAAAGGATATTGTTTCCCTATATAGGATAATGAAGTTTCATGTTGAAATAAATTTATTTAGGTATAAAAGATGGTCAAATTTGAAGAGAAACATAGCTGGGTGCAGTGGCTCATGCCTGTAATCCCAGCACTTTGGGAGGCCGAGGTGGGTGGTTCACGAGGTCAAGAGATCGAAGCCATCCTGGCCAACATGGTGAAACCCTGTCTCTACTAAAAATGCAAAAACTAGCTGGGCGTGGTGGTGCACGCCTGTAGTCCCAGCTACTAGGGAGGGTGAGGCAGGAGAATCGCTTGAATTCAGGTGGTGGAGGTTGCAGTGCACTGCACTCCAGCTGGGCGACACAGAAAGACTCCGTCTCAAAAAAAAACAAACAAAAACAAAAAAACCCAGAAACACTACATTTAAAAAGTATACATGATAATGTAAATTTGGCAAAATTGTGAAGATATGATGTAAGTGACTTAAGTTGGGGAAGCACTGCTGTAGGTTATGTTTATCATAGGCTGGGAACAGTGGCTCACACCTATAATCCCAGCACTTTGGGAGGCCGAGGTGAGAGGATCATTTGAGGTCAGGAGTTCAAGACCAGCCTGGCCAACATGGTGAAACCTCGTCTCAACTTAAAAAAAAAAAAAAATTAGTCAGGCATGGTGGCACATGCCTGTAATTCCAGCTACTAGGAGGTTGAGGTAGGAGAATCACTTGAACCCGGGAGGCAAAGGTTGCAGTGAGCCAAGACAGCGCCATTGCACTCCAGCCTGGGCAACAGAGCAAGACTCTACCTAAAAATTAAAAAAAAAAAAAAAAAATGGTACCACTATTCTTAGGCATTCTGCTAAGTACCTTACACATACAATCTCACTTCATCCTTATAACAATCTAATAGATTATTACTAAACTGAATTTACCTATTTTATACTAGAAAACTAGGGGTCAAAAACACTAATGCACCTGCCCAAGATCACCACAGGTAGTAAGTGGCAGAGCCAGGGTTAAAATCCAACTCTGTCTGACAGATTCACCCAGTGCTATACTATCTCTCTAAAGAAGGAAAGACTGAGAAGATGAAGTAGACCTAAACCGAGCCTCTTTCAAAGGAGACATATTAGTCACTTAGATAATTCCCAAGATTAGATCATTTGTAATATGTATGTTTGCCATATAGTTAGAAGATAGCTACAGCAATTTTTGGGGCTTCAGGTACAAGCTTTGTTGAGCCAGAAAACCCTGGCAGAAGGACTATTCACTGTGCCATATTTAGAGAAAGAATCAAGCAACAAAGCCACTTAGCATATCCAGTTCATGTCCTTATATCCATATATCCTTGTATCTCATGTATTCAAGAACATCTGATTACTACCACTGGTTAAATAACACTTAACAGTCCCTACATCTAGGAGCCTAAGAAAGAACAAAGCATACTTTTGCTAGAACAAGGGTCTTTCGTGGTCATATTTGCTTGTCAAATGGCCCAATACTGAAAAACACACCACTGATGGCTCTCAATGTGCTTGACTCTCAAGCACATCTGACATGTAATAACATAGTCGCCAATGGTCTACTAAATTTTACCCTCATTTGACTATAGGACAAAGAAATTAAATTTTTTAGAACAAATTAAAGAAATAAATCTTCCTGTGTACACTATGAATAACTGCATTATGGAAAGCTGGGGAATATGTACCTGAATTCATTTAGGGCATCAACTATTCGATTATATGCCAAACTCCTCTGACTGGCATCAGCTGATCTCCGGCTCATTTTCATAGCCTTGAAAACAATCATTAAGATAGTTAATTATTATGTCAATCATGAGCAAAACATGGAAAAGAGTCTTTTTTAGACAGAGTCACATATTTACACAACACTCTACCAAAATTCTTATTGAGAAATAAAGAAGGTAAATGCATTTATTGTAGCTTTCTCTTCTACACATTTAATGAATGGTTGAACAAAATTAAAAATTTTCAACTGTTTTCAATCTCTTATTTTTAAAACTGCAGACTGTCAATACATAAAAAAAAAACTGCTGCTGTTTCTGGGTTACAAAAAACTTCTTTTTCTCAAACAGAACAAGACATAATAACTGAGTAACAACAGCTCATGGTTTTACGCTTATATTTCACAGATAACACTTCTGTTAACTCTTTTTAAAAATTTTGCCCAGCCTGGTCAACATGGCAAAATCCTGTCTCTACTAAAAATACGAACATTAGCCAGGTGTGATGACCCACACCTGTAATCCCAGCTACGCAGGAGGCTAAGCATGAGGCCTGCTTGAACCCAGGAGTCTGAGGTTGCAATGAGCTGAGATCATGACACTGGACTCCAGGCTAGGTGATGCAGTGAGACTGCCTAAAAAAAAAAAAAAAAAAAGAATATAAAGATTCTACAGTAAGATATCTGAAGGTATTAGCAATATTTGCTTTCTTAAAATATATTTAGCCAAGGCTAAAAAGCCTTAACTTAGGTAGACGGCAAGGGGATCAGGATTAGGATATGGAGTACAAAAAGAACTTTAATCTCTTACACTTTTTCAAAGAGAATGTAATTCTGTTTTTTTGGTTTTTTGTTTGTTTGTTTGTTTGTTTGTTTTTGAGACGGAGTCTTGCTTTTCTTGCACAGGCTCCAGTGCAATGGTACCATCTCAGCTCACCACAACCTCTGCTTTCTGGGTTCAAGTAATTCTCCTGCTTCAGCCTCCCAAGTAGGTGGGATTACAGGCCTGTGCCACCACCCCCGGTTAATTTTGTATTTTTAGTAGAGATGGGGTTTCTCTACATTGGTCAGGCTGGTCTTCAACTCCTGCCCTTTCAGGTGATCCGCCCACCTCGGCCTCCGAAATTGCTGGGATTACAGGCATGAGCCACCACACCCAGCCTAATTCTATATTCTTTATGTAATTATAAAGTGATTAAATATTGTTTAAAAAACATATTAAGAGGTCAGCCTACTTCAGACCAGAAATCATGTTCCTACACATCTAAAAGCTTCAGAGGGTGAAAGTGAAACATACTTTATGATTTTTCAAACTGTTAAGAACTGGCAATTTATAAAGAAGTGAATATTATTTTGCTAGAATTTGGCAGTGTTCTTCCTTAATCTTATCAGCAATGCTGTTTTTAAATTAAATCACAAATCTCAAGAGGTAGAAGACTTCAAAATAATTGTTGCCAAGGTACTCAGAAACAAAATCCACAGCTTTTATTAAAAAAAAAAAGTTTGAAAACTGGCCCTAGAAGGTAACTTCTTTAGATGGTGCACTATTCACTATTATATTCTATTCTTATTAATATTCTATCATTAAGTAACTACTATAGAACTTTAAAAATTATTAATTCCCATTCGTTTATGTAAAAGCATTCAATTTCATCTTTCAGCTTTAATAAAACATGGGATACAACAATTGAACAAATATCCAAACTATAAGCATTAACAATGTACATTTTAGGTTAGGGTCCCCAACCCCTGGGGCATGGACCAGTACCTGTCAGTGGCCTGTCAGGAATTGGGTCCAGCAAGCGAGTGAGCAAGCATTACTGCCTGAGCACTACCTCCTGTCAGATCAGTGGCAGCATTAGATTCACATAGGAGCGAAAACCCTGTTGTGAACTGTGCATACAAGGGATCTAGGTTGCACGCTCCTTACGAGAATCTAAAGCCTCCAAAACCATGGCAACTCCCCCACCACCAGCCCCGTCTATGAAAAAATTATCTTCCAAAACACTGGTCCCTGGTTGCCAAAAAGGTTGGGGACTGCTGCTTTACGTTACAGAATTGTCAAAGAGTTAAAACATGAAAACACTTGCAAAGTAATCTTTAATGAGTTCTATAATGCCTATTTCAAGTTTTATACAAAGCCTGAAATACTTCTCCAAATAACTCAAAATGTCAGTTCACCCCCAACTTATTACTGTGTGTGATGACTCTGGCTAGACTACAAAATGTGAGAATAGCCAACTGAAGAAAATGTAATCAGTATCCAGCTTTTAAGAAAAGGTAAATGAAAATAGCCTTTACTCATATGTTCAATAAAAAAGTATTGCTAATGAAGTATTTGTTTTCTGACATATTAAATATGAACAACTAACATGTATGTCTTTTCTAGAGGCAGATGATCCTTAATCACTAATGAGTTATTGAGTTACATCCTTTGCTTTCTAAACTATTCTAACTGGTCTAGCCACCTCTCATCTCTTATTCTAGTCTCTTCAAAACACACTGCCAAGTGCTCCCTTCAGCAGCCATACACAAAACACACCGCCAAGTTAATCTCACCAAAGTACAACTTGCAAACAGCCTTAAAGACAAAGTCAGAACTCTCTGGCAAGCACTCCACATTCTTTGTCATCAGGTCCTCATTAACTTTGCCAGTTGTACCACTCACTATTCCTCTTCATATCCTTTCCTCTCCACAGACTGTTGTAACAAATTTTGGTGACAGCCACTGATTTTATGAGCTCAACTTCTGGGAATTTCCTCTAAAAAATAATCTGGTAAATTCACCAATATGTTAATGATAGGGTAGCAACAATTGTCAAACAGTAGAAATGGCCTAACAGGGAAACTGTTACTTAAATTGAGGAGACCTACTAAAATATATGTAAGAACCATTTACAATAACTTAAGAAATGTGTACGTGACAATGATTTTTATTTTATTTTACTATGAGATAGGGACTCACTCTGTCACTACAGTGCAGAAGCACAATTACAACTCACTACAGCCTTGACTTCCTGAGCTCAAGTGCTTCTCCTGCCTTGGCCTCCCTAGTAGCTAAGACTACAGGTGTGCACCCCCATGCCTGGCTAGTTTTTTTTTTTTTTTTTTGAGATGGAGTCTTGCTCTGTTGCCAGGCTAGAGTGCAGTAGCATGATCTCGGCTCACTGCAACCTCCTGGGTTCAGCCTCCCAAGTAGCTGAGACTACGGGCATGCGTCACCACGCCCAGCTAATTTTTTGTATTTTAGTAGAGATGGAGTTTAACCATGTTGGCCAGGAATGTCTCCATCTCCTGACCTCATGATTCACCTGCCTCAGCCTCCCAAAGTGCTGGGATTACAGGTGTGAGCCACCATGCCTGGCCATGCCTGACTAATTTAAAAAAAATTTTTAATAGAGACAGGTTGCTCAATCTGAGTTTTTAAAAATGGGCATATAATTTGAAAAATGTGGGCATAGCACAATCCCTACCAAGTAAAAGCACAATATGCATAGAAAAGGCCTAAATAAGATTTTTCAATAATGAGTTACTGTGTTCCCTTTGGGTGGCAAGAATATAAATTTTGTTGCTATTCTGCTATATCCAATTTTCAGAACTGTATGTTTCAAAACATCCCATACATCCTTCAAAGTGCAATCCAAACAAAACTTCTTCCCAACAGGAAGTCATTTCACTTTCCTCTGAATTTCTGATTGATTGATCGAGACGGACTTGCTCTGTTGCCAGGCTGGAGTGCAGCGGCATGATTTCAGCTCATGGCAACCTCCGCCTCCCAGGTTCAAGTGATTCCCTTGCCTCAGCCTCCCAAGTAGCTGGGACTACAGGAACTCGCCACTACACTCGGCTAATTTTCTGTATTTAGTAGAGATGGGGTTTCACCATATTGGCCTGGATGGTCTCAACCTACTGACCTCGTGATTCGCCCACCTCGGCCTCCCAAAGTACTGAGATTACAGGCGTGAGCCACCGTGCCTGGCCACTTTCCTCTGAATTTCTGAAAAAACTTTGTTTGTCCTTCCTTTTTAGCTTACATTCTAATATTTCACAAATTTTTTACTTTACATATTTGTATTATATATACTATCTCAGCAGCAATTGACGAAAGTGATTACTTCCTCCTTGAAATACTTTCTGTACTTGGCTTCCCCAAAAGAGTACAGTCTTGTTTTTTCTCCTAATTGAATAGCCAATCCTTTTCCTTCTCCTCTGCTGGTTCCTTCTCATCTCGTTGAACTCTTAATGTTGAAACGCACCACAAGTCAGGCTTAACACTCCCTGTCCTCTCTTGCCAATCTCAAGCAGTTTCATGGCTTTAAACACTATCTATACACTCATCACCTCTCTGGTGAACTCTAGACTCATAAAAACACTTGGATTCCAAGGACACAAATATAAAAAATCCATCTTCCTTCATCAAATCTGTTTCACTTGTAGTCTTTCTCACTTCAATGCTGGCAACTTCATCCTTCTAACTGCTTGGATAAAAAAACTTAAGAGTCAACCTTAATTGTTTTTTCTCCCATATGCCAATTCAGTCCACCAGCTAATCACACTGGCTCTGTTTTCATGTATATGTTTCAAAATATATCCAGTATCCAACAATTTCTTAACAATTCTATCACTAAAATGGTTTGAGTATTCATCATCTGTCACCTGGATTACTGCAACAGTATCCTAATTGAAATCTATTATCCACCATCAGTAAGAGTGATTCTCATAAACAATGTCATTCTTCCTCCACTCAAAACCCTCCAAAGGTTTCCCATCTTTCATACTTTTGTAAGAATAAATGCTAATATTCTTACAATGGTATCTTATAAGACCCTACATGATCTAGTGTCACTTCAACCCAGGCACCTTGACCTCATTAATGTTGCTTAAGAATCAGGCTTACCCCTGCAGTAAGGCCTTTGCCTCTGCCTGGAATATCTTGATCCAGATGGTTGTAGCTCACTTCCTCCATATCTCTGGACCATATCCAATGTCTTTTAATCAGAGGCCTTCTTGACTAGCCTATAAAAATTAGTAATTCTTCCTTCTAGGGTTCCTTATATACCTTTCTCCATTTTATTTTTCTCTACAACACTTATTACATACATCTAAACTCATATGTTTATTTGTTGTCCCATGAGGTCAGAGTGTTGCTTTTATCACTTCTTGTTAGTTGGTAGAATGGTGTCTACCACATTTTAGGCCCTCAAATATTTATTTACAGAACAAATGGATGAATGATCTTATATCATTTATTAGAGAGTAAGCACCTTAAAAAGGGTTCAATCTATTTGCATCCCCCAGAGCACTTTATAGGGCACATGCACAATGTCTGTCAATTTTTCTGCCAAACAAAGAAACATAATGCTTAATCGAGAGAATAAGATTTCAAAAGGAAAAGACATAAACAACTATGCTTACCTGTTCTATTGCACTCTTTAATTTGTTCATGTGGCTTTCAAAGAGAGGAAAATGTGAAAAAAAGAATTCATTAAATTTGTTATTTTCATCTTCATCTTTGGATAATGAAAAGATTACCCCAATTGCAATCTTCTTTTTCCTCACAATTCCTGGGTTAGGGCCACAGCTTTCATCTGAGAGATTAAAGCTTTCTTCTATAGACCTTAAAAATAAATGTTTTTTTAATTTAAAAAATAAAAATAATTGAAATCACAATTCAATCTTCTTGCTAATTAAATGTAGACAAGCTAAACGTATTTTGTTGTTTTATCAAACAAACCCATAATTTTGTACCAGCTGTGTATCTCTTTAAGGAATCTACCAGCTATTTTTTCAGGTTCATGTTTTAGTAAAAATTTTACTAGAGTCAGATTGGGAACATTTTTGTCCAATTAGAAGTTACTAAAGAAGCAGATAATTCCAATTCATAATTAACCAAAAAGTGTCTATATTTTAAGATTTATAGATGAGTCTGACAGACTCTTTTCCCTGTTCTAGAATCTACTGGTCTCTGTTTTTGATTTCAGGAGCTAAGTCAAAGATGAATGAATAAAGGAAATGAAAAAGAGGAGAAAACAAGAATTTTTAGTGTCTACAGTTGTACTTAATGTAGATTTAAAAAACTCTTTCAAGAATGAATTACCTCGCCAAAATAAAAACATGAAAAACTGAAATATCAAAACATGTATTACATAAATCAAAGACCTAAACATAAAACTCTTAGAAGAAAACAAAGGGTAAAGGCATCATGCATCATGACATTGATTTGGCAATGGTTTCTTGGATGTAACACAAAAAACACAGTCAACAAAGGAAAAAAAAAATAAACTGGGCTACATATAAATTTAACCTTCTATGCATCAAAGGGCAGCATCAATGGAGTAAAGTCACCCCACAGAATTTTTTTTAAAATTTGCAAATCGTAGATCTGATAAGGTATTAATATCTAAAATATATACAGAATTCCCACACCTCACCAACAAAGCAAAAAAACCCAAATATAAAATGAGCAAAGGACTTAAGTAGACATTTCTCCAAAAAAGATATGCAAGTAGTCAATAAGCACATGAAAAGATGGTCAAGTCGGGTGTTGTGTGGCTCATGCCTGTAATCCTAGCATTTTGGGAGGCTAAGACAGGCAAATCATTTGCGCCCAGGAGCTCTGGGCTCATGGGCAATAAGGCAAAACCCCATCTCTACAAAAAAATGCAATACAAAACAAACAAACAAAAAAAACAATTAGCCAAGCATGGTAGTAAGCCTGTAGTTCCAGGTATTTGGGAGGCTGAGGTGGAATGATCACCTGAGCCTGGGAGGTTGAGGCTTCAGTGCAGTGAGCTGTAACTGCGCCACTGGACCCCAGCCTGGGTGACTCAAAAAGAAAAGAATAGAATAGAAAAGATATTCAACTTCACTAATTATTAAAGAAATGCAAATCAAATCCACAATGAGAAACCACTTCAGACCCATTGAGATAGCTATTATCAAAAAAAATAGAAAATAAGTGCTGGTGAAGATATGGAGAAATTGGAACCATTGTGCATTGCTGGTAGGAATGTAAAATGGTACAGTCACCATGAAAAACAGTGTTTACTGTGACAGTTCCTCACGAAACTAAAACCAAAATTACCATATGATCCAGCAATTCTACTTCTGGGTATATAACCACAAGTATTGAAAACAGGGACTTGAGCAGATATTTGCACACTCATGTTCATAGCAGCATTATTCACAATAGCTAAGAAGTGGAAGGAACCCAAGTGTCCATCAATAGACAAATGGATAAATAAAATGTGGTATGTATATACAATGGAATGTTATTTGGTCATAAAAAGGAATGAATTTCTGACACATGTTACAACATCACTAAACCTTGAAGATATTATGCTAACTGAAATAAGGCAGACACAAAAGGACAAGTAGTGTATGGTTTCATTCATACAAGATACCTATGTTCATCAAATTCATAGAGACAGAAAACAGAATGGTGGTGACAAGGGGAAGGGGAGGGAGGAATGAGGAGTTACATTGAATGGATACAGAGCTTCAGCTGGGAAGAGGAAAAAGTTCTGGAGTTGGATAGTATTGATGGTTGCACAACAGTATGAAGGTACTTAAATAAATGTCACTGAACTGTACATCTAAAAATAGTTAAAATGGTAAACTGTTATGTATAACTTACCACAATTTTTAAAAGGTAATAAATTTTAAGTTTTCAGTTCCAAACTTAAAATACACAGAATGCAAGTCCAGGCTCTAAGAAACCCATATAAAATTGTGTTTAAGGAACTATTCAATTTTGTTCTGTGTTTAAAGTTCCAACTTACCATCTAGGAAATACTCCATTTTCCAAACTTGTTGTTTGGCTGCGTCGCCAACGTCGCTGGTAGCTGCTGGCACAACTTCGTGTAAGTGAGGAGTTTGGAGAAGGAAATGGAGTGATCAGCAAGCTGCTGAGAGATGCTGTTAAGTCAGAAGAACAAGTTATCAGTAATGACTGAGCATAATGACAAATTTCCTTTTAACAAAATTACAAATAGGTTAAGTTAAACTTTATTTTGCTTCATGAGCCTCTAAAATGTCCATTAAAAAAAAACACATCCTTCTTGGAGCAAGGTCTCAGAGGAGAAAAATCATATATTAACAATGTATCAGCAAAAAACTCAGACAATCCCCTTTTGGCATTCTCCTCCAGGGACTCCAAAATAAAATTATACTTTGCAACAAGGCATTAACCCTTTGGCCACTGGACTGACTGTCCCATAACTTAGCTGAATCCTTTTAGTTCTTAAATTAAAGGAAATCTGATGCTATTCAAACAATGTAGCAGCTGGATTTTAAGAACAAGCTATATTTGAAAATAAGTGTTTGAATGGCATTTAAAGAGGTCATTTACAAATACTCATGGATCACCTGTGCACATGCAGTCAAACCTACCACTTTTAATTACGAATCATGACTATACTTAATAAATTCCAAAAAAGAATGCTCTCTGGAGTACCAAGGTGATAAACACATCCTAGCAGACTCCACTCTGTAATGGCTGCAATCCCCTGACCTTGGGGATTATTCCCTTCCCAAAACACTCTGAAATCTGTAAGATATGTTTATTGCCTGACATGTTAAGAGCCACAACTGCTGATTTTTCATTAAGCTAGGGGTCCTCCCATTTTCCCCACTGGATTTAGAGAGGATAAGACCTGCCATTAAGGGCTTGTGTTTGGCAATATTCTAGACTTCTTTTATGATCATAAGCACATACTGAAAATGTATATTCAAAACAGGAAAGTATTATCATTACTATTAAAAAGGTATATGCCAAATGATAAATTATTTTGGACACCGGCACTAAAAACTGAGAGACTTTCATTACAAAAATCTATTCATTTGAATTCTGACAAATTCAATGGTAGAGGATAAAGCTGTATGTGCCATGCAAACATGGAGACCATCAATGAACTCATTCTAAATTACTTTCTTGTATAGACCACGTTTTATCAATTAGTATTATAAAGCCTTATAATCCAATATTGGGTATGTACAACTAAATCTGGGTATGACTTCAGTGAAAAATAAAATGCTGTCTTAAGTTTGGAAAAAATACATTTTACTACATTCTAATATTAAAAATAACCCTATTAGAAAAAGAAGAAAACACACATTAACTTAAATGGGATATATGAATCCAATAACTTGAAGCAGCGTAACAGATCAGTCTAGCCAGATGCTTCAACTTACAAATAATATAAGTATAGATAAATTATCATCTTTCAAATCTTAAATAAAATAATGAGAATTAAATTCCTGCCAGGGAAGTCTAAACCTCTAGATCACATAGAAGCAAAGGGTATTAAGATAAATATACTCTAGATTCCTTAAAACAAAAAATAAGGAACTCAATTAGAAAAGAAAGATGAGATTACTTGAAAAACACAAGCTCTTCTTCTTAAAGTAGTGGTTGGCAACCTTAGCTGTCCTTTAGAATCAGGTGTTAGGTTTTACATTTTGTTTTGTTTCTCAAATACAGATGCCTAACCCTTTCTCTAGGTTAAATGAGAGTCTTTGGAAGTAAAGTTTAGGCACTGGAATTTGTTTTTAAAACTTCTCCTTCTTATTCTAATACCCACCTAGGGATTACAACATATGGCAAGGTTAGATTTTTTATTTATCTCAAAACTGAATCATAAAACAATTTTGATAGCAGAGCCATATAAAGAAACAACATATGATGACTATCACAGTGAACTAAGTTTCTCATATCAAATAGTAATTCAAATCTGAAATTACTCCTCCTTTTACTTATGCTGCTCTCTGGGCCCCAACAAACACTTTTCCTTTTAGCTAAAATGCCTTTTTTTCTGAGCTTTTCCCTAGATAACTGCTATTTATTTCTCAAAATACAACTCAATCATCATTCTTCTGTAAAGCATTGTTGGCATCCCTGCCCCTTGCCCAGGCTAAGTGTGCTGCCCTTTCTCTGAAGCTCTTTGCACAGGTCTATCACTAAACATATCACACAATAAACTATGACAGATGATTTTCCTAATTTTTCTCCCAGTAGACTCCATACTTCTGTGTTCCTTAAGGGTAGACTCTGGGCTTTAATTTTTTTAATGTCCACCATGTTTCAATAAATGTTTGCTAGAAAAAAAAAAAAAAAGTGTAACATTGGTTCAAAATGCCTATGCTTTTCTGGGCAAGAGACAATATGAAAATTTAAATTCTAGTTAGCAGCAAGCAAATATAAGCGTGTGTGTGTGTGTGTGCGTGCGTGCGTGCGTGTGTGTGTGTTTTTATGGTTTCCAAGCAGTCTTCTGACCAATGCTTTTCTTCTTATACTAAGCTTTAACCAATATACTTTATTCTGGCTTTAGTTCATCCAGGTTTTATTCTACTGAGCACACTTAAAAGTAAACATGAAAAATGTTAAATATATGAGACTTTGCCCTGCTCTTTTCACAGTTCTCTTGTAAGGCTAATATCAATATGAACAAATTTGATAATACAAGGGAGAGATAAAAAAGAAAATCAATGCCAACAGCAATCTCATAAAAAACTGAATACAAGAACCTGACATTACCAGACCGTGCTATGCCACTGTCTCTGTCCTCATTCAGCTCTCTTCCAGGCATGTCCATTGGGTTGCTGTGAACTATAAATAAAGATGAAACTGTCAGTTATAAAATATATTGCTATTAAGCTGGATGAACAGCTCCTTTTAAATAGCAAACAAAATCATGCTCATCTCATTGCATTCCCTTATTTTTTTCAATAGCATGGCACCAACCCAACACCAAGAGCTATTACTCAGTTGAACAAGCTTTGAGAGCTCTGTGAAGATTTGATACACAGTATGAGAATCTAAAACATAATATCTAAAGCAGCAAGGAGTGACTAGAAGTCATATTTTAGAAGCATAGTCAATGACAGATATTCATAATATACTATTAAATGAAAAAAAGCAAGCTACTGAACAGTATAAGTGCTTGCTGGGTCTAAGTGGTGGGTATATCACAGTTCACTACACTGTTTCTGCCTATAACAATGTATGTTTCAAAATTCTCCATAATACATTGAGAAATTTGTTTTGAGAAATTTGTTTGAATAGTATGATCCCAATTTTGTTAAAAAAAAAAAACAAAAATGCAGGTATTTCTGGCTGATAAAATGACTAACATATATTTTATTTTTGCCTTTTAAAAATATTTTCCAAGTTTTCTATAAATACATATTGTTTACATCTAATATTTATAGGGAAAGAAAATATTAATGAAGAAAAGGTTTAAATTGACACCAATTTGAAAACAATGACAAGAAAATGTGTTTACATTCTAATAATTTCCACTAAAAGGTTGTAACCCACTAAAATGTGTGAAAACAAGGACTATGATTAGAATGCTGGATATATATGCATGGACATACTTTACAATCATCAACTTGATTATATAAGCAAATATAGTCATATATGCTTTTTACAGAGCATTACAGTGGTGCTTGTTCATCTAAATCCTAGCTCCAAGAAAAATTGTTCTTATGGAATAGTGTAGATCAGAAACTTTACAATAATAACAAGATAGGATAATTTTCTGCAATTGGTGAACTATGGTACAAAAGCTACTCAGCCATGGAAACAAGACAGTGTCACATTAAAAATTCCAAGTGGTACCTTGAGAAATAAAGTTCATATTAAGTTTTGGTTTCAGATTCTAAAGTTAAAAGCATTATGCCATGAGAGAAATGGCAAGCTGAAATTTCATAAAAATGTCAATTTTACTGATAACTCAGTGTCTGGAAACTTTAAGAACATGTTCAGTAGAAAGCAATCAAGTTCTTATACTTCCTAAAGCAATGTTTTCTTAACCGCAACCTCAACAAATGCATTCATCTACTCTCTTGTTTCCACAACTTAACTACAGTCTAGCCGTTGGGGCACACCAACTAGTCTACCCACACAGCACATCGCAAACCTGCAAAGAAAGAGGCGCTCCTGATCAGGCGGAGCGGACCCTGCTCAGAGAATGCCCGCCTGGGGCTGCAGAACTGTGAAAGACCTACATGGCAAAAACGTAAAATACACATGAAAGAGGACTGTTAGAGAAGCCACAATGCGTCAGGGAAAAAAGGTGAGCTAAGGCAGCACAGGAGCAGACCAACAGATATGGATGGAAACTTTTAAACTAAGAATAATTCAAGGTGTCTTCTCATTTTTGAAACAGGATGGTGTTTCTTTAGTCATGATTATCAAACAACAACTTCATGTATTTTTACTAATAAATCTATTTATAGTAAAAATAAGCTTCTGCTATATAAGGTAAAAATTATTTTAAATGTTCAATCCTTTCTAATGTGAAATAGTATTTTCAAAGATTTGAAAAAGTACAATAATGTTATCTATTGAATCTGATATTTGCCAAATAAGTTTATTTTTTAAAAAGTTGTTTTAATATTATAGCATGCTCATACAATTGCAGTAAGGAGAAAACCACCTATGCACTTGGCACACAGCATACAACAGAGAGCAAAACCAGAAAAGAGATCTTACTGACAAATTAAAAATTGGTTTTTCTAAACCAGTGATAAATTACAAACTAATGGAAGAAACCAAGGTTACTAAACCAGAAGTCAGCCACCATGGAAGAAGGAACACAAATGAAGCTCATCAGGGACCAGACTCCCAGCTGTTCAAGAGAAGTGGCTGCCACATGCTTCATCAAGAAAAGGTAACTGTAGTCTGAAGACCCAAGAATGGCATTATAGTTTGAAAGCAAGCAGCTGGGTTACCTGTTAGTTATGCTTAATCAAAATAGTCTAAATAGCCATGTAGGACATTTATCTAGGATGGAATACGAGGCTTTCTGTTTTAAAAAGTGACAACTCTATTTTTCTTCTTTCTTTTTTTGAAATAGCATTTTGCTCTGTCATGTAGGCTGGAATGCAATGGCATAACCATAGCTCACTGCAAGCTTGAACTCCTGAGCTCAAGTGATCCTCCCTCCTCAAGCCTCCCCATGAGCTAGGACAACAGGTGCATGCCACCAGGCCCAGCCAGTTTTGAAAACCTTTTAGTAGAGACAAAGTCTTGCCACATTGCCCAAGTTGATCGCAAACTCCTGGGCTCAAGTGATCCTCCTGCCTTGGCCTCCCAAAGTGCTGAAACTACAGGAATGAGCCACTGTATCCAGCCAATTGTAGTTTTCAAATTGCTAACAGATACTATTTTTCTGTAACAAGAGCTTCTATAATTATAGCACATGTATAGCAATCCTTCCATGTCTCAATGGTCAGCTCTTTAATTCTCCCTAGCTTTCTTTCTCTAGTTACTTCAGAAATTATCTACTTTCTTTTATCTCCTTCCCTACCTCTTCTTCTGAGCATAAAACTTTGTTTCCTAGAGTATGCACATGCATATATGCACATACACACAGTAGAATTAACCAGACTGGAACCCTTTTTTTCCTATTATTCTGCTTCAAAACTTACTCTAATTCTCATCCATCCTTGCCTCTTTCCTGCCTAAGCAGTCATGCTATTCAAGTCTTACTATGTGCTAGGGACTTAGTAAAAAATCCTAAGTTCCTTCCTCCCTTAAGTTAACTGTAAGTCAGCTAGGACCCCAAACCCTTATTCTTCAAAAACTTCTGTGAATTGTAACTTCTAGTCTTTAATTTTATCCTCCTTATAACTTCCTTTTATCAACACTTAAACATAGCCAAATTTCTTCCACCTCCCTCCATACATCTAATCCTACAGCAGTTCAGCAGTTCTCAAAATATCATCCAAGGACCCCTGGGGGTCTCCGAGACTTTCAGGGGGTCTGTGAAGTCCTCCAATTTCCACCTACATATCTGTGTGAGACTGGATTTTCTTGATACACTTCAATGAAAACAACATATCACAAAAGACTGAATACAGACACAGATATGAGAATTTAGCTGTACCCTAATCCAGACATTAAGGAGACTTGTAAAAATGTAAAACAATCTCACTCTTCTCATTAATTTTTTGGAGGTTTGTAATAACATGAAAGGGGATGTTAGTGTTATTTTTCAAGGATTTGCTAAATATTTTTTTAAATTTCTAATAAAGTATTTATCAATAGTTGTAATACATACAAACAAAAGTTCTCTGCAGACCTCAATAATTTCTAAGTGTGTAAAGGGCTCCTGAAACCAAAACGTTTGAGTACGACTATTTGCATCTTGGACAAAGGTCTAACCTCTGAGTATTCTCAATTCTGGCGTCGATTCTCCCCACTGAAACTGCTCATGTAGGCCACCAAAAGGCTTCCTGTTGCTTTAGTCCATATTATCTTATGTTACCTTATAGCAGTAATTGATGCTGACTATATTATACTGTAAACATTTTCCCCATGATAACACACTCTCTGTATTTTTTTCCCCTCACTCTCAGTCTCAGTTTGTGTGCTTCTCTTCTACCCCTTCTTAAAGCCAGCATTCCCCAGGGTTCCATCTTCAACAATCTTTCCTTCTCATTCTTTACATTTCCTAGGTCAACCTCTATTCCTATGCTTTCGATTATAATTTAGGTCCTGATGATTCTCAGATCTACAGAAGATACAGCTAACTGGTCAACTTCTATTATTTTTAAATTATTAAACATTCATCCATTTTTATGTTAAAGAGAATACTACAATATACCTAACTAACTAGCTAACAACAATGGATTTCTACACTTGGATATCCCAATACTTCCAACTGAACATGCCTAAACCTAAAATCATCAATTCTGATTTCTTCTATTCCCCTCAGTGAATAGCACCAATACCCATGCAATTAAACAGACAGCAAAGTGCCAAACTTGATCCTTCCTTTGACCTCACCTCTTCTATCTAATTAGCTAATCCTGTCCACTCTATTTCCCTTAAAAGAATTTCTCAACTATCCCCACCCACACTAACTTACTATAGGTACCATTATCTGTCATTTGGATTACCATGAGCAGCCTTCTAATATGGGCCTTTTCTCAATCCTACTTGCTCACCTGAATCCATTCCTGCTGCAGTTAGGATATTCTTCTGCAGATACAAATATAATCTGATTGTGTTACTAAATTCTGAAAATCCCTCTGTCACGGCCTCAAGAATGTATCTCAAAGATCTCCAACTATAAAGAGTCTGTTTGATTAAGAACCCCTGCTGCTGTGTTCTGAAATCCATTGCCACATTTGCACAAGGACACATAGCTGATAGGCTGCTCCCAGCCAATGGGTGAACACAGTAGGTATACTAAAGCAGGCCCATTTTGGGGAGGTACAGGACATTTCTGACAACCACCTTTGACTCAAATACTTCCCAGGGCCTTGCCAAACTTCCCTTGAACTGTATACCAAGCTAAGATACTTCCAGTCAATGTTCTATCCCTCTCTCCTTCACTCATGGTCAGACTTACATCACAATTCAGTGGTCTCTTAGCCTTTCCCAGCATGTTCCTCATTTTCCTTTACATAGTCACTTCCCCTAATACAATTCTTGCATGTTTAATCCTGTCTTTGGCACCTGTGAAAAAAACAGGTGATGGACCCAAACCAACATACTTGCACTGGTGCCCAACTACACTACATGAAGCATTAAGTCCAAATTCCTCAGTGTGGCCTATAGTATCCTTTGTGATTTAGCTCTTGCTCCATTCTTTCTTTTCATTTACTTTACTCCTACTCGGTGCTCCATACATACTGATTTATTCACATTCTTTCCATACTCTATGATCTCTTGCTCCTAGCTTTGTGTACAAATATTGCTTCATAGAACATTTCTTTCCCTAACCATCTGGCTAATCCCTCAAGCTTAGGCCTCATGTCCTCAAGAACGCCTTCCCTGACTCTCCAGGACTGAATTAAGTACTTCCCTTTATTTTTATCACACCCTGTTCTTAACTCTGTCTAAGAATTTACTATAGTATACTGTAATTGTTGTATTACTTTTCTGAATTCCACCAACTATAAATCCACTGAGGCAGGAACTATATCTGGTTCACCACTGTATCTTCAGGGGCCAGCAGAGTGCTTGGCATATTACAGGTGCTCACCACATACTTATTGATTGACTGACTGACTGACTGACTGGAAATTGAAAGAAATAAAAAATGATACACACAAAAAAAGTCCTTGATTCACAATTAAAAAGGGTGCAAGTAAATGTTGCTCATATGTAAAGTCAGTAGTATGTAAAATGGATCGTCTACTCTATCTTAAAAGAGACAACAAGTATATAGCCTCCACAGTATAATTTACCTTTATAAGTAATAATGAATTTGTGTTATTATAATGAATTCCTTTTGGCTGGGACATGGTGGTTCACACCTGTAATTCTAGGACTTTGGGAGGCTGTTAGGAGTTCGAGACCAGCCTGGCCAACATAGCGAAACGCTGTCTCTACTAAACAAACAAAAATTAGCCAAGTATGATGGTGCATGCCTGCAGTCCCAGCTACTTGGGAGGATGAGGCAGGAGGATCGCTTGAACCTGGAAGGTGGAGGTTGCAGTGAGCCAAGATCATGCTACTGCACTCCAGCCTGGGTGACAGAGTGAGGCTCCGTATCGAAAAACAAAAACAAACAAAAAAACCCTATGAATGACTTTCAACATTCAACAAGCCCTCTGAGCTTTGAAAATTATCAAATTATAAAGAAAAAAGATTTCATTATTTGTCATATTTTTCTTTTATTAAAATCAATGAAGTAATCAAGCAAGTTAAGAAAAAGCAGAACTTCTATTTTTCTATAACACTCACACATTAAAAAGTATATGCCTAACACTATGACTAGCCCACAGTAATAAATGTTTTATAAGTGACTGCTCATTTGAATAAACACAAACTATAAAAAAATAAACAAGAGGATGTCACACAGCTCAAGTTGGAAGAAAAAACTCTGTTTTCTACAAATATTTGTTTAAATTAATTATAAATAAAAGTTCTTACTAAACAGAAAATGAGAGAAATATTCACACTAATCTAATTGCTATCTCATTCCTTTGGCTTACTACAGCTTTTTATGCACCAGAAATATCTCAATACAGCAGCAGTTCAGTTGAGCTGTCTAGAAAAAAATGACCAGAAATTTTAGAGTCTGTCACTGTAAAATGCAGAATTTAAATAACAACAATCAGCTAACTGAAGTACTAAATAAACTGTTCTAATAAATCTTTTAAGAAATATCAAATTTAAACATCTGCTCATCTGAATTACAGGTGACAAAAACAAGCATCATTTTAAAATGACTTTTGTGTTTATGGAAAAGAGAAGGAAGAAGGTGTAATAGTCTTCTTCGGCTGAAATAGTCAAAGGAACTAGTAAGGGCTTTTTTATCACTGACAGATCTTTCAAAGATGCATCAAATTTAACAATGAAAAATAATGAAGACAAATTAGATACATCTATAGCAGTTCTCTTAATCAGATAAAAAATAAATATTATGTTCAAATATATGAAAAATATGTTTTCCAAATAAAACAAATGTAAGAGATACTGGCAACTTAAATGCCTCTTCCATTTACAGTATTTGAAATTCTTTGTTATCATAACAGATTTCTATCATTAAGGAATAACTTCAAAAAACACTTCCTATACTGTTCATATATTTTAAACTTATAAAATCAAGGAAGCCATTTACCTATATTTCCAAGCAGTCCGTTAATAACTGTATTATTATCAGCCTTTAATGTATTGTTGTCCTGATTGATGAATTCAAGACTATCTTGTAGCCTATGGAGGGTGAGAAAAAAATTAATTCCAAATTTGTTTTACGGTTTAATGGCAATTCTCTGTACATCCTAATGAAATTTTAAGTGCAAAAACAGTTTCTTCCTATTATCATTATAACTTAACTAACATAACTACTTAAATAGGATGTTGGCAAACTGTGGCCTGAATGCCAGATCAAGTTTGCTACTACCTCTTTTTGTAAATAAAGTTTTATTGGAACATAGCCATGCCCATTCATTTATGTACTGTGTATGATTTCTTTGATGCTGCAACAGCAGAGCTGAGAAACTGTAACCCATTGTTTGGCTCACAAAGCCAAAAATATTTACTATCTGAATCTTTAAAGGAGAAAGCTGCTAACCTGATTTAGATTACAAACAAGGTTTCCCCGCATATTTTGGACCTAAAAATATTTTCTAATTATCTGGTAAGGAGAGGTAGAAGCTAGGAGGAAGAGGAGGAGACTACATCATTAGGCAAATATCCAAAAACTGTTTTTAGTCTAATATATTACAAATAACCTATGTCATTTCTTTTAGTGACTCTTTCAAGATAACGAAAATAAAAGTACTTTATGCTTTTAGTGCAAAATGTCCTTTCTAGAGATTTTAGGAATTATCATTTAGAAGAGATGAAAAAACTCAGGTGATCATGGCTAACATCAGTGATTCCAACATGGAATCTTTAATTTCTACTTTAGTAGATCTCTAATCTCTATATTTTTGGCTTCAAGATTTTTTAAAGTATCCATAATATTTTAAAGAACACCTCCCACTTTCCTTCCTGCCTAAAAGTTAAAAAAAGCTACAAGTATTAGAAATTTAGCTAATAAAACTCTTCCAAACAGGTCCTTTTTTAAAAAAATACTTTAAATTCTGGGGTACATATGCAGAATGTGCAAGTTTGTTACATAGTTATACACTGTGTCACGGTAGTTTGCTGCAACCATCACCCTGTCATCTACATTAGGTATTTCTCCTAATGCTATCCCTCCCCTAGTTCCCCATCCCCTGACAGGCCCTAGTGTGTGATGTTCCCTTCCCTGTGTCCATGTGTTCTCATTGTTCAACTCCCACTTATGAGTGAGAGCATTTGGGGTTTGGTTTTCTGTTCATGTGTTGGTTTGTGGAGAATGATGGTTTCCAGCTTCAACCACGTCCCTACAAACGGCAAGAACTAACCTTTTTTATGGCTCCATAGTATTCCATGATGTATATGATGTATATGTGCCACATTTTCTTTATCTAGTCTATCACAAATAGGCATGTGGGTTGGTTCCAAGTCTTTGCTATTGTGAACAGTGCTGCAATAAACATACTTGTGCATGTTTCTTTATAATAGAATGATTTATAATCCTTTTGGTCTATACCCAGTAATGGGATTGCTGCCTCAAATGGTATTTCCAGTTTTAGATCCTTCAGGAATCACCACACTGTCTTCCACAATCGAACTAATTTACACTACTACCAACAGTGTAAAGGTGTTCCTATTTCTCCACATCCTCTCCAGCATCTGTTGTCTCTTGATTTTTTTTCAGACAGAGTCTTGCTCTGTCGCCAGGCCAGAGTGCAGTGGCACAATCTCAGCTCACTGCAACCTCTGCCTCCCAGGTTCAAGCAATTCTTCTGCCTCAGCCTCCCAAGTAGCTGGGACTACAGGTGCACGTCACCACGCCCAGCTAATTTTTGTATTTTTAGTAGAGACAGGGTTTCACCCTGTTGGCCAGGATGGTCTTGATCTCTTGACCTTGTGATCCACCTGCCTCAGCCCTCAGAGACATGCTGGGATTATAGGCATGAGTCACCACACCCGGCCTGTCTCCTGATTTTTTAATGATCACCATTCTAACTGGCCTGAGATGGTATCTCATTGTGGTTTTGATTTGCATTTCTCTAACGACCGGTGATGATGAGCTTATTTTCATATGTTTGCTGGCTGCATAAACGTCTCCTTTTGAGAAGTGTCTGTTCATATCATTCACCCACTTTTTGATGGAGTTGCCAAACAGGTCTTTCTAAACCACTAACAATTAATGGGGGCTCTAGAGAATATCTGTAGTTTGGAGTAGTTTTTTTTGCTGCCTTCTGCTGCCTTTGACCGTGGGGTACTCCCAAAGGCTCTGGCTAGCCAACGAGCATTGTTCTGATATGGAACCTGCAAAATCTCTCTCTGGGGTCTTCTACTGCCTAACTTTAGCCCCTATAATTTATTAGGTTCTGGCACATGGCGCATGATCCTGACACCAGGCCTGCCTTTGTTTCAGCTTCACTATTCCACTCTTTGCATTAATAGCTTGTAATACCCTGGTGGTTATCATTATATACTGTATATATTATGTCTAATATCCATATGGCTGACCTAGGTCAGTCCTGTCTGCAGGGCTAATTTCTTAGTGGTCTGAAAATTGAAGAGCATAAGCCTACAGACTGTAGTAACTCAGCATGGTACCACAAAACCAAAAATCAGCAAGTTGACCTAAGACGGAAATCCATTCAACATTTTACTTGCAGACATTGCTTCTACCAATTTAGAGAAACAGAAACCACCTCTCCTGTTTCTCAACCAAATGCAATTGAGAGTGAAATCTGGCCTCTATGAACTTTTAAACTTAAGGAAAGAGAGAAAATCTGAACTTGGGCTGCAGTCCTAAAAGCCGTTTGTTACTTTTCATACTTTGCACATCTAAAGTAATACATTTCCCCCGTATCCACAAGCGCTTACGTATTGAGACTTCCACAAATACTGCTGCCAGTCCGTGCAGTAAACACTTTGCTGAGCATGAGCTGTGGAGGGGACCTATGAAGAAAAAGAGAAAGACAGGGCTCAAAACTAAAATATAATGACTTTTTGGATTTATTACAAATAAAAATGTATAAGTCACAGAGGTTTCACAGCATAGCTGCGAGAGCCATGAAGTAGCATTAAAATCACAGAACATTTTAAATGGAGTATGACAAGCTCAATCTGAGTGAAGATCATATAAAATTCTCTCTTTAAAAAACCCAAATATCTAAAAATGGACTCAATAACAAAAAAATCAGAAAACCTCTCACCGAATCTGATGAATTTTTAAGGTGGATCCTTTGTAGCTCATTGCTACTGAGCCAAACATCATCTCTCCAAGCATATTGGCATCAGAAGAACACCGCGAACCCTACACAATAACCATACATTAACAAACTGTGTTAATTTAAACCTTATGATTATTTCATGTTTTTATTAAAAATTTTTTATATAGTTATTCTACATTAAGAGTTGTAATTCTACATTGTATATGCTGTTCTGCAACTTGATTTTCTTCATTTTACAATGTCTTGTGGATGTAAATACGTTATTACACATAAATTTGACTAATTCCTTTTAAGAGCTGTACCATATTTCCTGTATGAAAATTACACAGTCAGACCAGTTTCCTTTACTAGCAGGCATTTAGGTCACTTCCAGATGTTTGCTATTATCAATAATGCACAAGTAGGCATTCTTAACCACATCTTATGCATATATAATATTTCTCCAGGATAGATAAGTCAAATTCAAAGAATATGCAGAATAACTTTTACTACTCCTGTAGTACAAAAGAAAAATCCACAAATAGGGCAATTTATATCTATTTTGTACTTCTGAAAAGACATATCGGTGATCTGCAGTTTTAATACTATGCCTATGAAAATCCTAATGGCATTTTTTACAAAACAGAAAAACATACTAAAATTTATATGAAACCACAGAAGACCACGAGTCAAATCTTTTTGTTCTTTTTTTGAAAAAGAACAAAACTGGTGGCATCACACTTCTTGACTTCAAATTATACTACAAAGCTACAGTGGTGAAAACAGTAAGGCACTAGCATTAATACACACATATATATACCAGTGGAACAGAACAAAGAGCCCAGAAATAAACCTACATGTATACAGTCAACTGATCTTCAAAAAGGGTGCCAAGAATACACAATGGGGACAGCATAGTCTCCTCAACAAATGCTGCTGGGAAAACTAGATATTCACATGCAAAAGAATAAAACTGGTCTCCTACATTATGCAAAAAATCAACTCAAAATGGACTGAAGGCTTAGATGTAAGACCTAAAACTGTAAAACTGCTAAAAGAAAACAGGAGAAAAGCTTGATGACACTGGTCTTGACAGTAATTTCACACATATGGCACCGAAAGCACAGGTAACAAAAAGCAAAAATAGACAAGTGGGACTACATCAAACTAAAATGTTTCTGCACAGCAAAGTAAATAATCAAGAGGGTGAAAAGGTAAAATATGGAATGGCAGAAAATATTTGCAAACCATGTATCTGATAAGGGATTAGGCTTCAAAACGTACCAGAAACCACTACAACTCAATAGCAAAAACTAGTAACGCAATTAAGGTCTTGAATAAGCATTTCTCCAAAGAATTCATACAAATGACCAACCGATACAGGAAAAATGCTCAACATTTCTAAACATCAGAGAAAGGCACATCAAAACCACAAAACCTGTCAGGTTGCCTATTATCAAAAAAGCAAAGACAACAAGTGGTGAGGATGTGGTGAAACTGGAGCCCTTGCAAATTGTAGGAATGCAAAATGGTACCGTCCTTATGGAAAACAACATGGCAAGTCCTTCAAAAATTAAAAATACAACTACCATGTGAACTAGCAATTCCACTTCTGAGTATCTATCTAAAATAATTAAAATCAGGATTTCAAAGAGACATTAGCACTCCTATGTTCATTATGGTACTATTCACAATAGCCAAGGTATGAAAATAACCCCAAATGTCCATTGACAGATGAATGGATAAATGAAATATGATATATATACAGAATGAAACACTATTCAATTTTTAAAAAGAAGAAAACTCTGCAACATGCAACAACACAGATGAATCTTAAGGACATTAGGCTAAATGAAATAAGCCAGTCACAAAAAGATAAATACTGCAAGATAAGATAAATACTCCACTTACATGAGGTATTTAAAATAGCCAAATTTACAAAATCAAATAGTAGAATGGCAGTTACCAGGCGCTGGGGTGAGGGGGAGATGGGGAGTTACTAATCAATGACAGTAAATTTCGGTCAAGCAATTAGGATAAGCTCTACAGATCCATAGTGCAACATTGTTCCTATAGACAACAATTCATGGTGCATTTAAAAATTTGAGAGGGTAGATCTCATGTTCTCACTACAACTTTTTTTTTTTTTTTTAAAGACTTCCTTGAGGCTGGGTGTGGTGGCTCACACTTGTAATCCCAGCACTTTGGGAGGCCAAGGTGGGCAGATCACAAGGTCAGGAGTTCGAGACCAGCCAGGCCAACATGGTGAAACCCCATCTCTGTTACAAATACAAAAAAATTAGCTGGGTATGGTGGCGTGTGCCTGTAATCCCTGCCACTCGGGAGAGGCTGAGGCAGGAGAATCGTTTGAGCCCAGGAGGCAGAGGCTGTGGTGAACAAAGATTGCACCATTGCACTCCAGCCTGGGCAACAGAGGAAGACTCCGTTTAAAAAAAAAAAAAAAAAAAAAAAGACTTCCTTGAACCACTGAAATTTTTTTTTTTTCAAGGAAACTCCTGATTAAAAAGTTATTCCATTTCATTATTATTTGTCTTCACAGGAGTCAGAAAACAGTTAAAGATTGAGCTTATCCATTTGGTTACTATTTAGATATCATGGCAAATATCACTATTTACCTACCAAGTATCTATTCTCTAATTCTTCCTCATTTTTTTGAAGTCTAGTTTGTTTCAGGGCACTAATATGCCCAACTGAAAAAAAAAAATTTATTTCACAGCCTCACTTGAAGATAGGAGAGCTGGAGTAATTTTTATACTTAAAAGATTAGTGTTATGGTTGGAGTAGCAATTTTCAGAACTATTCATTTACATATATTTGACACAGTCCTGGTCAGTTAGATGTAAGAGGAAGTCACTACAGATGGAGATGTCATAATATAATGATAAGGCAAGAAGTATAATTTAACTCTAAGTAGAAAGATAAGAGAACCATGGTTTCTAAGGGTATCTTAAAGCCCAATATCATACCTAGATAGTATACTTTTAGTGTTATCATGTCAGAAACACAATCCCTAATTTGTTTAAGCCACTGTTTAGAGAGTATCCCAATACAAGTCTTAACTGATGCAATTATAAAAATCAAGAAATAAACAGTTTTCAAAATATTAAGGAAAATTCTAATAACAATAAAGTGAAGAGAATCCCCATTGTACAAGTGCAGACCAGGATATACAGCTGCACATTGTTTTTTGTTTCATAATGTGATTCTTTTACTCTTTTATCTGTTTACTCCCTATCTTACATTGTCTTATTATTTTGGGTTAAGAAAATCCATATATTTAAATATTTACATCTTTTTTTAAAAAGACACCAAGTAGCAACATAGTTTACTATATATAACTGTTTTTATATTTGTTTTATCTATGTTCATTTACATGTTTTTTTTTCTTTCTCAGAGCTATACACTTAATTTTGGTTTAATATGAGCACAAAGTGAATTAAAAAAAAAAAAAATTCTGTCATACCTACGTTACCAATACAGGAAGCAGTTAATTTATTCTTGAGATCTGGTTAAGATCAAATTTTTATTTCAAGACACAGAGGCTTGGGTACTGAGGACAACATTTTAGAAACAGAGTGGAATAAATTTTTTAAATGATAAAATAGTTTAAAAAAAAATCAATGCCTATATTACTTGGCAACCTAAATTACTTCTGGCTAATGACAGACATGGCAGCCTTCCCTTATAAGCTCATTTTTACTATAATGTGTCTAACTCCCTGGCTATTTTGAATGCATTTATTATTTATTATATTAAGTTACACAAATTTAAATACCAAGGCATTTATAGATTTTACTATTATACAAATACAATGATCCCCAGTAAGGAAAATAGAGTAAAAATATTAATAAGTAGCCAGGCACAGTGGCTCAAGCCTATAATCCCAGCACTTTGGGAGGCTGAGGCGGGTGGATCACGAGGTCAAGAGATAGAGACCCTGGTGAAACCCCGTCTCTACTAAAAAATACAAAAAATTAGCTGGGCGTGGTGGTGCACACCTGTGGTCCCAGCTACTCAGGAGGCTGAGGCAGAAGAATTGCTTGAACCAGGAACTGGAGGTTGCAGTGAGCCGAGATTGCGCCACTGCACTCCAGCCTGGCACCTGGCAACAGAACGAGACTCTGTCTCAATATACAGATATATATATATATTAATAAGTTACTATGTAAATTTTATGAGACCATGTAATTTACCATTAAGTTTCTCTTTGTCTGTTCTAACATATACTAGTTATCATGAATAACTGGCTAGCTATGTATTTTAGTATGACATAATCTACAATGAAGCTTATAATTAAAATGATGCTATTACCATTACTGTCTTTTAAAAAATGCCTTATTTAAAGGTCTATTCTAAGTACTCACTGCTGGAAGCTAATAAATCTGTTATAACTTGTATAACTCAAAGACAATGTTCCACTTACCTGAAATTATATACATATTTTTTTAAAATTTTTATACTTTTAAGTTCCGGCATACACGTGCAGAACATGCAGGTTTGTTTCATATGTATGCATGTGCCATGGTGGTTTGCTGCAACCATCAACATTACATCTATGTTAGGTATTTCTCTTAATGCTATCCCTCCCCTAGCCCCCTACCCACCAACAGGTGCCAGTGTGTGATGTTCCCCTCCCTGTGTCCATGTGTTCTCATGGTTCAACTCCCACTTATGTGTTGAGAACATGCGGTGTTTGGTTTTCTGTTCCTGTGTTAGTTTGCTGAGAATAATTGTTTCCAGCTTCACCCATGTTCCTGCAAAGGACATGAACTCATCCTTTTTATGGCTGAATAGTATTCCATGGTGTTTATGTGCCACATTTTCTTTAGCCAGTCTACCAATGATGGGCATTTGGGTTGGTTTCAAGTCTTTGCTATTGTGAATAATGCTGCAATACAGGTACACATGCATGGGTCTTTATAGTAGAATGACTTATCATCCTTTGGGGATATACCCAGTAATGGGATTGCTGGGTCAAATGGTATTTCTGGTTCTAGATCCTTGAGGAATCACCATACTGTCTTCCAATGGTTGAACTAATTTACACTCCCACCAACAATGTAAAGGCATTCCTATTTCTGCA